ATACGTCGAAGAGATCAAAATCAGTCAAGCTGCGATTAAGATCACTAATAACGAGGAGATTTGCCTTGTAATCAAATTTATGGGGACGAGGGTTGAAACTGCGAAAATTCTCGAACTACTTCCATTCACCGATCTTCATCTATGGGGTATTTTCTGACCGTGTCAAACACTAAACCATTCATTCATATGCTTAACAAACTTTGATTTCTTCATCAAATGTAGTTCTCCATTCAAAAGAATACATAGTTCACTTGTGGTATTCGCCGCATCGGATACATACCAAACTCAAAATGAGATTATCTTTCTTTATCTTTATCTTTCTTCCTTTGTCACAACTGTGATACGCAAAATAGGTCGCAACCCATACTCCACAGTGGACATCTATGACCACCTGTAGGAAATGCGTTCAACACGATCCTGGTAACTCCTCGGGGTTTACACCGAAATGTTGCAGTTCTACGAAAGCCCCATCGATCAGGATTGTGAGCTTTAGTAAAACTGCTTTGACTGTTACGGTTACCAATAAGTTGCACAAAGTGTCTTCTTTTTGTATACACCTTTCCCAAGCAAACTCTTCAACCGGTTTCCTCCTTTCACCTGAGGCAATGCTTATTCACACGGTGTTTATAAACCTGTTCACTAAATGGTTATCTTCATTGTTAAAATAAGTTAATATTATTCACGCACTCCTTGAGCTACTCCATATCCAATCATCGAGACATTTATAATTCAATAAAAGGCGAAAAGGAGTAAATGTAGTGAAAAGAATTGATTACTCCCTCTTGCGATACACGGAATAAAGAACCAGCCAAAATGCCTAGACATATGTGTATTCATCATTGTTTTGTAGTACATGATGGTTCACTGTCTCAGACCAGTGGCTCTATTTCCCAAAAACCATTTTTAGTGATACCCCAGGAGCTTTCCCGGATGAAACACAGAGCGGAATGGGTTTATATAGAACAGTGTATACGCCATCGGATGAGTTGGATGTATCTCCACGTTTGTGATGTGAAGCACTGTTATAAAAAATTCTCATTTCATTCTGTTTATGCTGTCACACCTAGATGTGTTTCCAACCAACACAATTACATAACAACGCGGAATGTTTCAATTTTCCGTACACTTCTAGTCCATTGGCAGCGTCTGCTCCGAACAAAATCTGTAAAAATACATCCTGTCCACTTATACCTGAATAACACAGCCTCACACCCACACACTCTCGCATTCAATATGGACTCAATCAGCCGACCGTCGGATTGCAAAACGGACAAGTCGGGTTCAATCCAATCAAAAAAATGACAGTGAAATTTTACTTCAGAAAATGACTTATTCATACCTGCAGTCTTGATGCCGCCAGATAGTGCCGATGTGTGTACGCACGGGAGGGCGGGCAAGCGGGCTGGCGGCCAGGCGCGCTCCCACGTGTTAACTCGCAAAAGCATACAGTTACACATCAGGCGTGAGTAGCGAGGAGTAACACGTGTGTCGTTCATCGGGGTTCCGTTAAACTTTTCCTAACGTTTGTGCCTTGTCTCGGTAACCCTGCTTTGTTGTTGTGCCACTAAAGCGAACCGTTCAGCTGGGATACGTCGGAGTGGAATAAGGGTGTGTGGGTGGGTGTGTAAAAAAGAAAGCATTTCTAAATGGAAAAGATTACGACCCATGAGATTATACATGCCTGCTTGGACGGAAGCAAACACAGTGGTGGAGAAGCAGTGCAAACAGCAAGTCAACAAGACCTGAGAAGGAGAGAAACAGTCACTCAGTCTTTTACAGTTTTTCTCCGAGCCAAATATATCTTCCCGTTACTCATCCAATTAACCAGCACATTATACGAGTAACTCGGAAACGCGATAGTGCAGACGTTACCAGGATCATCTCAATTTTCACGTGATGTATAGTATACAGTCCGTGAAGTCTGCGAGGAGGAGGGTTGTAGATTCCGGTGCAGTACAGACAGAACGCGCTAAATTCCTATTATTGAATCTATTACTCCCAGCAATTCGATGCGGCACGACCGATGCCAAAGGCAGGTCACTGAAAATAATTCTGAATGAATGCCAGTGTCTCTTAGACCACTGTAAAGATGGTTCGGAAATGGGCATCTCAGAAATCCTTGATTTTGATTTTTTTTCTCTGTGCTATTTGTCAGTATTAAAAGGACAACAACCAACAAGCACTGTTTGATCGAGTATTACCGTTGTATTCCTGCATGTTTTACATGGGCACGACTTAATAAAGATCATCTGGAGTAGAGGGAAAATTTAATGTCCTCTATTTGGTATCCGATATATTAATCTTTCAGAGTAAATATCAGAATTTACAAAAAAGAAAAATGCTGCTCAAAAGAGTTGTCTGCCAATCTATACTTCTAATGCCACAAAATTCTGTGACAATTCTTTGGCCGTCCCCCCCCCCCTGTCTGAGGTAGATTTTTCTCAATCATATGGATTGCTTCACTGTGCGTTCACTGCATGGAAAGTTGACTGGCAAACAGACATTTAGATAGTTAATAAGTCAGTCGTGTGCTAGCCAGTCAGTAAAAAAGACACTTAATCATCTAGTTTCTTTTTGCGCAACGGTTCATCCTCTGAGCGGGCGTTATTTGTTGCCGATCACATGGCGGTAGGGGAAAGGGGCCGGTGGAATACATGCCACATCCGAAGGTCTCTTGCCTTACTTATCCGTCTAGAATAACCATAATTATATTGATAATGATAAAATCGATTGTCCAAATAAGGGCACCTGTCTATTCTGTTCACACCTCATGCCTCATGAACGTAGCTTTTGGGATTTGCTTGCGCATGGCAACTGGTTTGGGTTGCGGCCGTATCAAACGAAATGAAATCTGACACTTTCCGCAGAAATTCACCGATGAATAAATAACGGTCGGCATCGTATACGTGGCGGTCGATGATACCGAAAAAATAAACTTTTCAGAATTTCCTTCATCCACATGGAGGACAAAATCAGAGCAAGCCAGAGAGAGATCACAAACAGGTCCGGGTCTCAATCTGTCCAAACTGAGGATGGGAAAAGCGGGTATCAACCTACTGGCTACGTTGCATGTGTGTGTGTGTGTGTGTATGGGCAGGTATGGGCAGCAATCGTCTTGTCGCTACTGGCCACCCATTATTCACGGAATTAGGAACTAATTTCGCATGAGGGTTAAAAACCGATTAGGGAAACGATTGAAATAGTTTTTGAAGCATCAATGGTCGCAGGATTTCGAGAATCTGTACAGTCGATCCACAGGGATGCCTCACTTCTTCCCATTCCCGAACATCAGTGTGTCTTACCCAGTACGCGATTATTACCCTACCCCCAACGAACTGAAAGCAGTTTATGATGAATCAGTTTTAACTCGAAGACTATCGTAACAAAAACGAAATGAGCAAAGTCACTAACAGAAACACTAAACAAAGTTGAATTGGGGGTGGTTTGTGCTCTGGAATCAGACTGATAAGATTAAAAGCAACAGACGTATGGAACGAGCACGTTCTCATTTACTGTGATGTATGTGACTACTTGATTGATAATGTGAAAACACATTTGAGTAGGTAGATATGCAGTTCAATGAGTTTGCGTTCATTGGCAAGGTGTTGTTGTCGCTGTCATTGTCGCTTTTTATCGTACACCTATTCACGTCAAGGAACTTGATTGTTGAGGATATTGATTCATTGACCACGTGGAAATTCAATCATTTATTGCCTGAGCAACTTCCTAATGTCCTCGGGTGAAGTTATTTTCCCTTAATTAAATCATCCTTCACATGGTCATAATCATCATTATCGATTTCATGTAGCATAATAGATCAAAGCAACTGTGTCCGTCCGTTGCCATGCTCACAACTTGTATACTGACAAAACGCCATTGCGTAAGGTAGATTAACTTATTTGTCTTAACGTCACCAAAACAAAAATACATCCACACAGGTCAATAAAATAAGGTGATGCACCGCGAAAAGCTTTTCTTTACCGACCATAATATCAGAAAAGTGCATCGAGCGGAAATGAGTATGTAACGTCAGTGAATGAGAATTTACGTCGTCATGGATATACCCACGCATACATATTCTGGTGGGTGCTCAACCCAATATCAAATAATTTCAATCCATTTTGCCTGCAATGTTGTACAATTTGAAAAATACCCTCGCTAATGATATAACGCGTTGTTTGACATCATCAGCCGAGAAGATATCGAAATCAGAGGATCGTTGTTTCTCCAATTACTGAACAGATATGATCAGTTCAATTCAATGAATAATTCTGTTTGAAAGGGTTTTGAGAGCGCAAAGACAAATAACTTAGCTGCTTCACCAAAAGATGAGATTAAAATAAATTGGCGTTCAAGAAACCAAATAAAAAAATTATAGATCGTGAACAGACAGTGTGGAAAACTAAAAGAAACTACTTTTCCACATATCGTATCAGGCCACTACTTATATAAGGCGATCATCAAATTCCTCCTCCTCATCATCATCATGATTTTAAAAGATTTGCTAATCCTTTATTATCCCAACTTTACCTTTCATCCACTTTTGCGATACACCATATCCCAAGCGGTTGCACCCTAAACGAGACCTATTTATTTTTAGCAGCCGCGGTTAGATAAAGCTAATTCGTCCTACATTTCGCATAGGTTTCGTGCTGTTAGTTGTGCATTCTTCGTAGAGTCTAAAAGCGTAATTCCAATTTCATCGTGCGTTATGTCTGATTGGTTTTCCATAACAAAATTGACTAGAAGACATTATGTCTCCTCCTGAATTCAATACACCCTCAATTTCCGATGAGGAATTCACGGCAATCTCTAAGCTGGAACAGGAGCAAGAAAGAATCAGGCAGCTGGAGTTGGATCTGATAACCATGCATATTACTTCTGGTTCGAACGTCGCATCAAGTGAGGTTCGGTTGATGCATTACGCTGATAAAGATGCCGTGACGGCAGGCCTTTCAAGATATAAATTTGTTTCCGACATCACACTGAAACCGGACTCAATGAAACCCTTCTGTGAAGCGGCTATCCAACCTGAGATGGAGTATCGGGAACGAGGCGTTGCAGGTCAGGTGACCGGATTTCAAACTCTGGACGGATCAGCCACCACCAATCAATCACCGTTGGTAATTCGAGGAACTGACGGTTTTGGCAACATGCTTATTAACCCCCCTAAAAGAGACCTGATGACCTTCGAGCGAGATCCTGAACGCTACTGGCTCTTTATGGCGAATGTTTTCAAATCTACAGGTGATTCAACAATCAGGCTCTCCTACCTGATCCAATATTGTTCCGGCGAGACCAAAAGAGCCATCGAAAGCTGCCTAATACTGGATCCTGAGGAAGGATTTAACGAAGCTCTATACATCTTGTGAAAGCGATTCGGAAGGCCAAACATGATAGCCAAGACGCAAATCGATGCCATCACGGATGGCCCCGCAATCAGACCGAACGATTTTTCAACCCGATCCAGACTAGCTGAAAAGCTCCGTACGTGCTACACCACTTTGAGTTAATTAAAATGTGAATCAGACCTAAATGCTTCTCGGACTATTGGTGCCATTGTGAAACGTCTACCCACCCACACTCAGGTGCATGAGGGCTAACAGAGAGCCACAATTTTGGATCTGATCGAATTTGTAGAGGAGACAGCCGACGTTGTGGACACCTTTC